GTGACTCCGAGTGGGTGGTGTGTGTGGGTGTCCCAGAAAGTCAGCAGTTTCTGAGGTGCTCAGTAGGATCATTTTATCCCCCAACACTGATGTTTTATGTGAACATTAACTGAATTTTTCAACCGGAATCTGCATGATTTTATGTCTTATGCTGCTACCACGACATGCCCCATGCCTATTGGTTAACTGCATAAATAAGCATGTATACTGGTATACAGTATATTGTTCTTGGTGGAGTGGCTGGTGAGGGGAAAATATGTATTTATTAATATATAGCAAATATGCCTGCATATAGGTGTATAGTGTGTGTGTGTGTGCTTTTCTTTCCCAAGTATTTATTTTACACTGGTGTAAAATTTATGACTAATTACATGCACATATGCATAAAAATAATGGTGTTTATCACATAGATTAAAAGCAGAGAGAAAAAAGGCAAATCAAAATGCAATGTTCAAAGAGAATTTCATGCTTGCTAACTCTCATTCTCTCTACCAGCTCAAAGAGAAGAAAAACACATTATGACCTGAGTAAGGCAATGCGACAGTTCAGTTACCAAATGAAGTCTTTTGCAATCAATAGAAATCCACATTACTTTATGAAGTGAATCTTATACTAACTAGCACTCTTCTCATTTAACTAGGGATCATCTTGCACTGGCATTAATGTGGCCCATGTGCTTTCTGTTATTCTGTTCTTGCTTAAAACCCTAATGTAAGTCTGGTTTTTATATATACAGCCACCACCACAGTATGACTAATAAATCCTTGGTACAGGCAGGAATACGGTGAACAAGAGAGATGAATTTTCAAGATGAATTTTGCTCTCACAGACACATTGAAATTCATTCAGTGTTTGTCTTTATTGTTTATAGTTTTACTACTATAACACCACATTATTGTTTGGCATAAAAATGGCATCCTGGACTTTTTTGTTTACAGCTTATAAGAAAGCTTATTTATTGTATATAAAATGTTAAAACCACATGGAAAGATCCTCTTGCATTTTCTCTGTTTTAAACTATTTTTTAATAGTTAAGTACACACATAATATCAGACACTAAAAGTAGTTATCTCATGGGTCACTTCATTTCCCAATAAAGTATCTTTTAGTGTTACTCAAATATGATGTCTGGGTACTTAGGTATACACCACTGTCCATCATTAGTCCCTTCATTATGACTTAAATATTATGTATAATATTATATAATATGTGTAAACAGGTTTACTTTGATCATCGCTTTTAGCATTACATGTTTACATATGGTACGAGCTCATAAATGTAAGAAATTAATAACATCACTTCAACATGTAACTTAAACTGACTAAAAATAAAACAATGTCACCCAAGATGTTATTCCTGGTCATGAAGACAAGAAGTAGTTTTACAGCTGTAACTGTGCCTCTTGAACTGTGGTGTCGTCTGGAGCATCGCTATTTTTTAGAAGTACATCAGATTTGCTTTTTCGCAAATAATACAGAAGTCCTATCAGAGCAGATATTGCCAGAATGATAAACAGTGTAAGACCAATATACTCTGCTGGAGTGGCAAAAGCCGCATGACTCAGTGTGTAATTTACAGACGGTGTAACAAACATGGAATTTAATGGAGTTGGTTTTATAAGAGGAACACATTTAGATTTGTCTACCAGCATAAACCCTTCGTGGCAAGAGCACTCATATCTTCCGAATGTGTTCCTGCATTTTTGAGCACAGTCGTGGTGATTTGACTTGCACTCATCTAAATCTGTGCACTGTTCCTCTTCTTTGATGAAGCCATCAGGACACTCGCATGTGGAGCAAAGCCGTGGGCACGTGGCAGAGTTGCAGTAGTACTCACAACGTTCAGGATGTTTCCTGCTTGGCCTGAACCTTGGAAGGCAGGAACACATGTGGCCTCCGGGAACCTCTTCACACTGGTGTTCACATGGAGCATATGCACAGTCTTCCTTATTCAGAATTTGCACTTCAGAAGGTCTATCCTCCCAGCAGTTTTCCCACTGAATGCCGTCACACAAAAAGCCGTCGGCCTGTTCCTCGCACGGCCGCTCAAACTTCCTGTTACTAGAAACCAACATGCACTGTGAGGAACACGCCACATCTTCCCCTCCTCTGTTCAGAGTCACAGATTCACGTTGAGAATTTCTGCTGCTGCTTAAACATTTACCTTCTGCCCCAATCCAGAAGCGTCCTGTTTTGTTGAAAAGCAAACTGTCAATAATTTTACTCGATGGCGTTAGTAATGTACCTCCCTTTTCCATGCAGATCTTCTGGGCAGTTTTGAAGTCGGCTTGCAGGTTATGAATACCTGTGCAAGTTCTTAAATCTTCTTTGCATGCACACCGTAGTGTATGTCCCACATGGAAGGAGATTAAAATAATAAAGGAGATGACCGGTCTGTAGGAATCCATTCTCCAGCAAATTCTTTATCATATAGAGCCTGATGTCGTGTGTGAGCCAAAACGCTGGGGTCCCAAACTTTAAGCACTCTAGTGGCTTAAGAATTGTTAAAAGAGGAAGGAAACCCCTCCTAGATGTATTTATGTCATTTCTGGCTCAGCCTTTCCTCAGTGGAATGCAGTCACTGTTCAGTAGCCACTGCACACAGGCATACAGATTCTAGATTAAAGACAGAGTTTATTTTATGGCCTCAAAATGGAAACTGTGTTTTGCTTTTCATTAAGCTTTGCTTTTCAGTAAGGACTGGTTTGGACAATTTTTACATAGGTTTTCCACTCACCCCAAATGTAGCTTATCAGCCAAAATATGTTTGGTGCGAGTATTTAGTTTTGCACAAGAGCTGAAACTCTAACATCTAACATTGTCTATAGTAGCTTATGCCCTCCAATTAGCATGCCTGGTGAATTCTATTTTTAAAATTACATTTTTTCCATAAAAAAAAAACTCTACACTCAATGGTCACTATATCAGGTACTCTTATTTTATAAATCAAGGGGTGAAGATGAATGGCATACTCTTTCTCCCCATCTGTGAGCTTGTGTATGCAGATAGCACTGTGTGTTACGCTGCCCTGTAAGGCTCCATGAGCAGCAGTTCAGAAAGATGCAGAGGTTGGCTTCACTTACTTCAGGAAGGTAAACACGTTTGCCCCATCCTCCCAGTAGGTAGCAATCACATAATGGAGGAGAGTTAGCGAGTGGGTGGAAATTGGCCAGACCAAATTGGGGAGAATATGGGGAAATTAAAAAAAATAATAAATAAATAAAAAATAAAAAATTTACACATGTAAATATTTGTCAATTTACCGTTTAGACACATGCACAGAATATTTAGACAGCATCTGCATCCTATTTTAGAGAAAGCTGCTCATGAAAGAGGAAGCAATGCAAGTTACCATTGATTAACTAATTCAATAGTTCGATATTAGTGCTTTAGCTGTGTGGGTTACATTTTACAATACACTGGAAAAGACAGTAAGGCTACAGAATAGGTGGACTTTATAAAATGCATGTACTGTCTCATGATGATTTATGTGTTCTGGGCTACTGAGCAATTAGACCATTAGGGCAGGGGAAGCACCACCATTTATATAAGCTGTATAACAAATTTTAATCATCATAAAGTCCTCAGTCACAGCTCCATACATTTTAAATTACATTGAAATACTAATTACATTTTTCGAGAGACCAATGATATAGGAAATATTACTTAGCAGTGTACATACTGTTCATGGGTTATTGACATTGGGAATCTGAGACCAAAAAAAAAACAAAAAAAACAAGATATTTAAAGAGAATATCTTAAAATGCTGTTTTTAGGGATCAGTACAGACACACAAAACCACTATTCATGCCTGGAGATGCTCTTAACAGCAGGTGTATGTAATCAGGTATAAGTGCTAATAAGGCAGAGTCATTACAGATGTAGCAGACTGAATTCATCTATTTGTTTTATTTTTGTAAGAAGCAGTTACTGTCAGTAACAGTTGTCAGTACAGTTGATATTTCACCTCTTTATGCAATCTGATTTATTCTTGAGTCAAAATAACCTGAACCATACCTGTGTAATATAAATATGAAGACAGGTTATAGGGAATGCACCAAAAAGTAAATTTGTACTTTTCATGTTGAAAATGAGCCAAGCACACAAAGTTTCACATCGTTAAAAAAATAAATAAATAAATAAAATGAGTATGGTTCCACTTTAAGTAATGGATCATTTTGCCCAAGCGGAACATGAGGGTTAAAAGGGTTTTCCAATGAACTAAAACACACTAACATGAATCTAATCTACTCTTTTACTCTTATGACTATGATCCATTTATTGCAAAGTACAAAGGCAGCAAGAGAACAGACAGAGATGCATGGAGCTATCGAGACACAGAGTACAGACAAAAATGTTTAGATGTTTCCTTAGTGTACTGTGTTCATACATTGGATATAAAAAATATACACACCTCTGTTAATTGTAGAAACTTTAAGTTTCTGTGATGTAAAAAAAAAATGAAATCAAGATAAGTCTGTCAGATATTTTTCCTACCTTTAAGGTGATATAGCAACCAACAAAATTCCAGTGAAAAACAAATAGAAACGTTTTATAATTACTCATGTTCGGTAGTAATTATCATAATGCACCTGAGCCAGCTAGCTAACTGCTACCTGAAACTTAGCAATGACATGCAGTTTTGGAAGATTAGCAGCATCAGTGGTGGTTTGAAATCAGTGACTGATTGACTCAAATTGTGTACATATCTTGTGGCTTAAAAATGTTGTAAATCCTGGCTAGTTAGCCTACGTCAGCTAACGTTAGCTGTCTTGCATGACCACTGAAAATTGCAGTGCCTATGGCAATGTGACAGTTCAGTTACCAAATGAAGTCTTTTGCAATTAGCAGAAATCCACAAGATTTCACAAGATCCACAAGATTTCACGTAATGTGTAATAATCACTAGATCCACATTTTTTATAAAGTGAGTCTTATACTAACTTAAATAAATACTTGTACTCTTTTCATTTAACAAGGTTAACTGATATTAACATAGTTTCCCTGGTGGCCTAATGGTTAAGGCTCCTGCGCGCTCACCACTGTGGCCCAGGTTTGATCCCTGGGCAGGGAACCAACCCAGTCACCGGGAGTGTACTCTCAGTGCTGGTCCCCAGCCTGGATAAAACGGGAGGGATGTGTCAGGAAGGGCATCTGGCATAAAACCTGTGCTAAATCAAACATGCAAACCAATGATTGAGCAGCTAAAAGAAAAGCCTCTACAACTAATTTTAACATAGTCATGATCATCTCACACTGAATGTATGGTATTAATGTGGCCCAAGTAGTTTCAGTTATTCCATTCTTGCATAAACGCCTGATGTAATTCTGGATTTCATATAAAGTCACCATCACAGTATGATTAATTAAACCTTCATACAGACAAAAATATAATATAATATATATATATATATATATGTAAACATTATTGTTTGGCATAAAAATGGCATCCTGGATCCCCCTGCACTTTTTCATACCCAAGTATTGATAGTTAAGTACACATAATATAAGATACTTTAAACACTCTTACTCAAAAATATGTCTGGGTACTCTGGTGTACAACACTGTCCATCATTAGTTCTTTGATTATGACAAATATTACCACACACTTTTTGTTAGCACTGCATAATTATTCAGACTAAAGAAATCTGCAATTTACGTGTAAATAAGTGTAGTCGGACCATAATTTTTAGCAATAAATATTTACATATGGTACGAGCTCATAAATGTAAGAAATTAATAACATCACTTCAACATGTAACTTAAATTGACTAAAAATAAAACAATGTCACCCAAGATGTTATTCCTGGTCATGAAGACAAGAAGTAGTTTTACAGCTGTAACTGTGCCTCTTGAACTGTGGTGTCATCTGGAGCATCGCTATTTTTTAGAAGTACATCAGATTTGCTTTTTCGCAAATAATACAGAAGTCCTATCAGAGCAGATATTGCCAGAATGATAAACAGTGTAAGACCAATATACTCTGCTGGAGTGGCAAAAGCCGCATGACTCAGTGTGTGATTTACAGACGGTGTAACAAACATGGCATTTAATGGAGTTGGTTTTATAAGAGGAACACATTTAGATTCGTTTACCAGCATAAACCCTTCGTGACAAGAGCACTTATAATTTCCAATCGTGTTCCTGCATTTTTGAGCACAGTCGTGGTGATTCAACTTGCATTCATCTAAATCTGTGCACTGTTCCTCTTCTTTGATGAAGCCATCAGGACACTCGCATGTGGAGCAAAGCCGTGGGCACGTGGCAGAGTTGCAGTTGTACTCACAACGTTCAGGATGTTTCCTTCTTGGTCTGTACCTTTCAAAACAGGAACACATGTAGCCTCCGGGAACCACTTTACACTGGTGTTCACATGGAGCAAGTGCACAGTCTTTCTTATTCAGAATTTGCACTTCAGAAGGTCTATCCTCCCAGCAGTTTTCCCACTGAATGCCGTCACACAAAAAGCCGTCGGCCTGTTCCTCGCACGGCCGCTCAAACTTCCTGTTACTAGAAACCAGCATGCACCGTGAGGAACACGCCACATCTTCCCCTCCTCTGTTCAGAGTCACAGATTCACGTTGAGAATTTCTGCTGCTTAAACATTTACCTTCTGCCCCAATCCAGAAGCGTCCTGTTTTGTTGAAAAGCAAACTGTCAATAATTTTACTCGATGGCGTTAGTAATGTACCTCCCTTTTCCATGCAGATCTTCTGGGCAGTTTTGAAGTCGGCTTGCAGGTTATGAATACCTGTGCAAGTTCTTAAATCTTCTTTGCATGCACACCGTAGTGTATGTCCCACATGGAAGGAGATTAAAATAATAAAGGAGATGACCGGTCTGTAGGAATCCATTCTCCAGCAAATTCTTTATCATATAGAGCCTGATCTCGTGTGTGAGCCAAAATGCTGGGGTCCCAAACTTTAAGCACTTTAATAAATGTCGAAAGAAGAAGGAAACCCCTCCTAGATGTGTCATGTCTGGCTCAACTTTTCTTCGTTGGAATACAGTCATAAGACCAACACCCACTGTTCGGTAGCTGCCTTGTTTCATAGAAAATAATAAGAAATCCTATCTAAGAAATTGCTGCTAGACAGTATGGTGGGTGACTATATGTGGTCAACACTTGACTGCTTATAACCAAAATACTCTAAAAATTACTCTAAAATGTCATATCCTATAGCATAAGTCAACTGTGATAGTCTTTTGACTTAATTTTGTTTGAAGCTGTGTGGTTATTAATGTCCTGCCCCACCAAAATCCCTGGTCATGAGTTGCTTCTGCTACAGACGTGTTTAAAAAAAAATACTCACGTCACATCGTCATAAGTGTAGATCTGCTCAACACATTCCAGTCTTTCCACTTTTTTGATATAGTATTTTGATTACTTTTGATCATTAAATTTGGCTCAAGTATATTTTAAAAAGTCATATAATTTATTTAACCACTATGGTGTAAAATTCATAGGTACCTATAGTTGTTATTGCGTAATGAAGACAAGTAAGAAGACTGTCACCCAGGTAGCAAGCTGGAGGCAGTTTGTTAGTGATAACAACTACTACATATGCTGTGTTTATATAGTTGTGTTTATATAACTATATAGTTTATATACCACCATATTTACTGATGAGAGAGACTCTGTAACTATGAAGTAATACTACATTACAGCAGAAAATAGTGGACCAGCCACTCCGTAACAAGTAAGAAATCTCACAGACATTTATGATTGAGGCTCAGATTTGTTTTATTATCATAATCCAACTATTAAGCACATTGCTTTGAGCCATTACAGATTATTGATTTCTGAACTTATCACCCACTCAACCTAAACCGGCTACAATGTGTTCAAACATAGATTTAAAACGTTTTGAATCTTATATACAGTGCTAGTTTCATTACACCTGCAGTTAGATTCGAGTTGACATTATTTATGCTTGTTTTCAAGTTACGGAGCTTCTTTTAAGAAAAACATTGGTGTGACTGGTATAATTTTAAACCCATTCAGTTACTGTGATCAGCCAAATAAGCTTATAACTATAATAATAATTAAATAATAGCTACAACAATCACATGCCTAAAAACTCTGATACTAAACATAGGCTGTATTAAGCTTCTGTGTTGTTATTGATCAAAGGCGATTTGATCTGTGGTTCAGTGCAGTGAGACAGCAGGAATGTCTTGTATCAAGTGTCACGTCTTATTGATAAAAAAAAAAAATTAAAGATAAAAAAAATCACAAAGAATTCAAAGTACAAGTAATAGTGCGTAATATAAAAAATCCAAACAATAGTAAAGTTCTGTTCTGGTCTGTTGGAGTCCATTATAATAAGTGTTGCGCAGTCAGTATATTCTGTTCCGCTGCGTTTCTAACTGAGTTGTGTATCCAGAAGACACCCAGCAGTAGCTGTCTGCTGTGGCGCTTTTCTTCTGGGCGTCTTTGCGTGAGCGTTTCCAGCGGTGCACAGCAATAACCGCACTGAGTGTAATCAGGAGGAGAAGGGGGATTACCGAGCTCAACGCATACACCAAAACCCAAGAACCGACAACTGAGCCATCTTTGCGCACGCTTTGGTGCGTTTCCGCAGTTGACTCTGTGCTTAAACGTGACGTGACTGTGGTTAGTGCTGGCTCGTCCAACCCTTTAGTTAACACTATTTCGAAATCATGTGAAGTAGTTGCGCGCTTTTGGTCTGGAACACAGCTGATGCCGTTCTCAGCTAAGCGGAAGCCTGGGCCACAAGAACACGTGTAGCTTCCGTCTGTATTGCTACATATACCTTCACAGGGCCGATTCAGACATTCGTCGATATCTACACATTTATCTCCATACTTTCTAAAGCCAAGAGAGCAGTAACAAGAGAACGAACCCTCGGAATTGAGACACTTGGCGTGATGCGCGCACACCGTTTCTGCGCATTCGTCTATGTCCTCGCACACACCATCAACGTCCTTAAAGCCTTTCTTGCATTCACACTCAAAGCCCCCTTGTTTATTGTGACATATATGACCATTGCAAATGTCCTGGGTACATTCGTCAACATCTTTGCAGCTGACCTTGTCTTCGGAAAGCTCAAAGCCCTCTGGACACGTGCATGCAAACCCGGTGGCTTTCGGCGTGCAGTCGTGTTTGCAGGGTGAATTGCGACAAGCGTCTTTAAGGAAACATGTGACTTTATCGTCGCCGAGGTAGTAGTCCTCCTTACAGTCACAACGCACTCCGGCATCACCATCATCAAAGCACAGCTGATCACACCCTCCGTTTCTGGTTTTGCAGCTCCGCTGACCCGAGGCGCAAAATGGTCCGGGCTTTTCCCACACGAAATGCGCGCCTCTTTCTTTACACATCGCACCAGTGCTCATCTCACTGTCATACGCGCAGCTTATGTCAGCGAATGTTGCATAAGGTAACATAGCCAAACCGCCATCTTGTTTAAGTGGCACGTTTAAAAATGGAAGTGTGTAATTAACCTCTCCCGGTCCCGCAAGTAACAAGGGTTTGCACATGCCCTTAAAATAATACACACACATATATAGCGCGTGCTCTTTACAAGAGCCATCGCTCCATTTCAGTTCCTCGGTCGCAGTAGAGAGCGAGACGCAGCGCGCCTCCGTGCACGTGCTCCTCGGTTCGTTTCTCCAGTTGGAGTAGGAGGAATCCGGGGTGCCGGAGATCCATCTGAAGCCGTGCAGCCCCTTGTCACTGAGCACACAGCTCCCTTTAGAAAGCTTCAGTCCTATCCAGACTTTTTCCCGCACTGAAAGCTTCCCGGCTAACGCGAGAAGTGACTTCACTGCTTCTAAATCATTATCGTCTCTTACTGTAATCAGGTAGCCGCCGTTTTCGTAGCAGTTTGCTCTGGCTTTCTCAAACTTGACCTTTTCTGTGTGGAGAGTGAAGCACGCCTTGGCTGTGCACGTGCTGGTGGCACAAGTCGCTCTTTCAACAGCCAGCAGCGCGCACAGCACCGCGATCAGAGCGCACCGCATCGTCCCGCCGATTTAACGCATATATATCCAGTTCATGTCCCAGACTAGATGCTGTTCGTAGGCCTCGAATGTGCTTAAACAGCTCAG